ACCCTTTCCACTTGCACCAGTAATTTCAATAAATCTATATTTAGATAATAAAGAAAAAACTTGTTCTTTTTTTCTTAATCTTAAAACTTTCCACAGTAATCAAGCCCAAAACTTTCATAAAGCAACTATTAGTAAAAAAAGAAAAAATACTAAGGCGAAGAAGAGATTACGAGACATATTTGCTATTTATCTGTTGTTCGTCTAACAGTTGTTTAAATAAAAAATAATTATTAATACCTTATTTTAGAACAAAATATTTTTGTCTATTTTTGACCGGATTTTTTCCTAGTAGGGGAAGATTTTTTTTGTTGCTCTAAATAAGCCGCTAAAAATTCCTCTAACATTTCAGTAATTAGTTTGTCTTGTTCATGAGCCAAGCGACGAATGGCTTCGTCAAACTCGGGCGTAACCTTGGTGCCAAAATAAACTGTGCGGTTAGTGCGGGTCAAATAGCGACCATCTCGGCGACCAAAACTGGGTTCAGTAATACGGGACTTAATTAGTTTTTTTCTGATGGGCATAGTTGTTTAACTGTTAGTCGGTCATCTTATATTATTATTTTAGATAATTTTGATTATTCTCAGGGATAAACAGTTATTACCCCAATAATTTCGGATTATTATCTAAAAAGAGAATTATTACTTTTAGGGATTTTTTTGATTATTTTTCGCTAATAAGTAAGTTGAACTTAATTAGTTAGGGGATTCCTAGTTATTTAGCAATTAACTCTCCTAAAAACCCAATAACCAACACTATTAATCAAAGCAACAAGTCCAAAACCAACTGGCACTCATGTTTCAGACTTATTACCTAAATATTGCTGTCGGGCAATATCCACTTGCTCTGAGCCTAGTTGTATATTTGTTACCTCGTATATTTCATTGTCAATTATCTTTCTACTAGGGCAAGTGTTATTTGAACTTTCAACAGGAGAACTTTCAACAACTTCTTCTTGTTCATTCTCCCGCTCTTCATATTGGTCTTTTTTTACTCGTTGTTCGCTTTGCTGTTGAACTTTGTATTCTTTTTTAGATGCCTTGCCTTGGAAATGGTTGAATTTTTCCTGCATCTTTTGTCCTTTATGCTTTCATCGTTCTTCCATTTCTCGTGCTTTCATTTCCATTTTTTCTTCCATTGCTTTTGCTCTTGGATGTTTTTCTTTGCTTAATTTTTCTTTTACTTCCCTTACTTTTTCTCGTTGAGTTTGGATATGGCTTTTTAACTGTTGGAGGTTTTTCATATTATTATTATTTTAGATAATTTTTAATTATCAATCTAAGATTATATTTACTATAATCTTATTTTTTCCTTTTCTCCTACTAGTTCAATCCCTTCCTCTAAAATCTCCACCATTTTTCTCCTTTTTTGGTAAGCAATCTTAACTAATAAATCATAACTAACCGGGGATATTTTAGTAGTTAAAGGGCGAGTTCTTTTAGTAATTGAGTAAGAATTGTTCTTCTTAGCCACTAGCTTCGGTTCTGCCGCTGGACTATCTTTTCGGCTAACTTCTTCTCTTTTTAAATTATCGCTGCCAGTAGTAGGAGCCTGCTTTTTTCACTTTTTTAAATTAGTAAATGCCATAATTAGGTAACAGTATTGATTAATTCTTCTAAAAATTTTTCAGTTTTAGTTTTTAAAGAGGGATGTAATATTTCCGTAATAGCCCAACCTTCATTTTGAGCCAGTCCATAACTAACTCGCTCAGGCAAACTATTTTTAAGCACTTTATAAGGGGTAGTAGCCAAATAATCCCGAGCATCTTTTTCACTATTAGTATTGAGAACTTGATTAAGAGCCAAAATTAATTTATCCTTCTTAATACCTGCTTTGACTAAAGAATTATAGTCAACAACGGCAGGTTCTAAATCATCTAAATAAGGCTTAACGGGTTGGATAATATAATCAGATTGCTGGGCAATCTCCTTGGTCATGGCACTAATCATAGCTGGGCCATCAATAATTAGTAAATCATATTTTCCTTTTTGAGCGGCTTGATAGGCCGTAGCAAAATCACTAAAAACTTGAGCCGTAATTTTAGGTTCTCTTTCTCGCCTCTTACTCCACTTATAACTAGTCTCCTGCCCTGGATCGCAATCTGCTAGTAGAGTTTTTAGACCGGCCCGGGTTGCTTCAACTGCTAAGGCTCGGCTAAGGGTAGATTTTCCTACGCCCCCTTTTTGGGAGATGAATGCGATGATTTTCATATTTTTATCCATAAATTTCTCAATATAAATCAATTAACTCTTCAAAATCTAACAAATATAAAACTTTCTCACCAATTTCTTTCATTTCCTTTTCACTTAAAACTCCTAATCTCTCTTCTTTCTTAATTAATCTCGTTTCATTATAAACCTTTATCTGGTCGCACAAGGCTTTACCTCTTTTTCCACCTACTATAACCGGAACTTCAAAATCATAAATCTTATCTCATTTTTTACTAGTAATTGGCACCGCCACAAAACGATAATTTTTCTTATTTAAGCGATTGTAGAAATAATTACTGCTGGGCGGTCTTTTTGCTGTTCGGAGCCTTCAGTTTCTTTGCGACTAACGCGAAACTTATAAACTTCTCCGCGTTTAATCATCATATCATTCTCAATCTTTATTTTCCTCGTCATCCTCCTCTTGGGCTTGGTTTAGCAAAGCAATTTCAGCCTCTCTTTCTTTATCTTTTACTGCTTCCTCATAATTAGCAAATAAATCTTTTTTTCGTTTAGTTTGATTGAAAACCTTATAATTTTGTTTTTCTTGGTCTAAAAAGTTTTTTATCTTTTCGGCTTTATTGGTTTTAATTATTATTAGTTGCTCCATAATATTATATTTTATCCATATTTCCATAAATACATAAATACATATTTTTATCTAATAATAAACCTAAAACAAAATAATAGACTAACAGACTAACAATTATAAAAATAATATATGACAAGAACTAAAATAGAACCTAAATTAACTTTAACTGTCAGCCTTAACTCCCGTTTATTTAAAAGACTCAAAAGCGAAATAGAACCCCGCCAAGTCAGTGCTTTCGTTGAAAAAGCTATAGCCAAAGAATTAGGTGCTTATGACCAACAACTAGAAAGGGAGCAGCAAAAGTTTGTTAAGAAATTAATTGACGGTTATAAGAGGTCCGCCACCAGCAAGTCTCTCCAAAA